AAGCAAAAATAACCCTAGGCTTTTGGCAAGCCGTGCCACCAAAATAAACTAACAGTGCCTAAGCAAAATGTGGGGGCTGCTAGGGTCCGGTCAATCGGACCGGAAACCCGCCCCGGCCGACGCAGCGCGTGGGAGATTGCGCGCGGGAGGTTCTCGTATGCATGTTGGTTTGCGCAGCTTAGGGCCCACCTCTCACGCATAACTTCCAATCAACTAAAAAAGTCATAACTGTTAAACCAAACATCTAAATTAAATTCTAATTACACCATCAGATTTCTTGCAATAAATCCTTCAAAACAAGATCCCATATGGATATATTTGAATAACTTTTTATTAACGAACATTTATATTATGAAAATAGAACATTTTTTCTTTTATTGAGCAGAGACGTGTTCTAGGTTCAGAGAACAATGTTCCCCGTTTAGAAAAACAGTATTTTAGTTTTAGGTTCATATGATATTGATATTGTAATATACATAAAAAATAAATAAATAAATAAAACATAACATAAATAAATAATAAAAAATCTCTAGAGATAAAAACACGCAGTAGAGAAAAAATTTAAAAAGAACATCACATGAATACTTTTCAAACATCAAAAAAAATATACTATAGAATATCACATGTATACTAATTGAACATCGCTAAATACACCATAGAACATCACTAAATACATTATTGAACATCGCATATATATTACGTGAATATCATTAAATACATCATAGAACATCACATGTATACTACGTGAACATCATAAAAACATCATCGAACATCACATGTATACCGCGTGAACATAAAAAAAAATATCAGAACATCACATGTATAACACGTGAACGTCACAAAAAAACATAGAACATCACATGTATACTATAAAAACATAAAAAAAAACATCATAGAACATGACATTATATATCACGTGAACATTGCAAAATACATCATAGAACATCACATATATAGTATATGAACATAACATCACATCGAATATAAAAAATATAAAAAATTAAATATGAAAAAATAATTATGTAAGGTAAAATAGAAAAATCACATGAAAAAATGAAACAAACATATTGATTAATTATTATAATAGCGAAAACAAAATATAATAAATAAAAATATAAAAAGTGAAAAGAATAATGAAAAATCACATGAAATGAAAAATAAAAATGAAGAAAGGAAATAAAAAATAATAAGAAAAGGAAAGAAATAAAAGAAACATAAAAATGATTTTTTTAAAAAAATATTAAAAATCCATAAAACAAAAAAGGAAATATAAATAAAAAGAGAAAATAAAAAAAGAAAAGGAAAGGAAAAAAAAGAAATGAGAAGAATAATAAGAAAACAGAAAAGGAAACGTACCTAGTGCTTCCGTTGAAAATAGAAAGAAACGAAAAGAAAAATAAAAGAAATGAAATGAAATGAGAAGAAAAAAAAAAAAAAAAAAAAAGAAACGTACCTGGGTGCTTCCCAAAAAATGTGCCACACCGTAACTTGGGTCGTGAAGCACATACCAGATCGCTGTGGTGGGTTGTGGCAAGCGGGGCTAACGAGCTAAACGTCTCTACCTTACCGTAGCGATACTGTATATACGCATCGTAAGGGGAAAAACACTCTCGAGAGCCCATAGTGAATTGTCAAATAGGAGAAGCCGGGAGAGGTGGGGGGGGGTGCTCCCGCATTTCGGCGGTTCTGATTTTTGAACACGAGCTGTCACACTCCGGCATAGTGGAGGACTGTTCACCGTTCATATGGTCCATGCCGCGTCTTGCTGGCTGCCCTCGAACAGTCGAACTCGATCTGACACAGATGTGCAGTAGCCCAGTTGTGTGGCCTTATGAGCCGTGAGCGTACGTATACACAAATGCAGTACGTAGCAGAAAATCATTACGTTTGTACAGCTCCAATCAAATAAAACTGGAAGATAACAGTCGACACGTTTGAACTTTCGGTTTTGATTTTGAAGCTTGTCACTGCCGGAGTCCGCGCGCAAGCGAAATCACAGCACGTTACGACGTACGCACCGGCGGCGGGGTTGCAAAAGGATTTCCATAGTTTACTTCTTCAGTTCAGACTTTAGAGAGAATGATTGCATCACAGCCGTCGATTACCAGGAGTCGCGGAAGCTTATGCGACGACGGCGACGGCCGCCTGTGATGTGTGGCCGTGAATAGCAAGGAGGCTTCGTCGCCCCCTCGAAACCAAAGCATGACGCCGTTAACTGCCGCGACCCCACGCGCGCGCGCACCCTCGAGGCCTGCTTCCGCCTCCGCCTCCGCCTAGCCAGGGGCCTGTGGGGGGCGGCTACAACTACAAATAGCGCCCCGCGACGCACTCGGCGCCCGGAACGCACGCAGCGGTAAAGCGACGCTGCCAGCAGACAGACATGTCGACGACGGATCCGCTCCTCTCGGCCGGCGGCGGCGGCGGCAATGATGGCGAGCGCGGGGAAGAAGAATCAGAGCAGCAGCAAGGGGCGGCGCGTGTGCATCGACGAGGCGCTGTCGTCGTACGCGGGGGAGTTCGGGCGGTGGCAGTTCGCCGTGCCGTGCGTGTGCTTGTATCTGGATTCGTTTTCTGATGTGCCTTCGTCGTTAGGAAATGGTTTAGCTTTGGCGAATAATCTCGAGTGGAATCGCTAGTTGGTAATAAAGGTGCGGCTTGGCATTTTGGGGTCGACAGTTGGGTGGGGGAATCGAAAGCACGGGAAGGAGTAGGCGCGGAGCTGGATTATTCCAGTCCCACCATATTCGGCAGGGAGCGCAGGAGGAGGAGGAGACAGAAGAGGGCGACGTGACGCGATCTGGTGGTCGCGGTGCGCCTTTGGCCGGCCGGCCCCGGCCCCGGCCAATCCGCGGCGGCCGTCGAGTGTTTCGCTTCCGGCGGCTCGGCCACAGGCACGACATGAATGTCGACCTGGTGGACGACGAGATGGTCAGTGCCATTTCACCTCGGACTCGGTGGCTTGGTCCTCTTACTGGTTAGTGGTTACTGCCCAGACGCTCACCATCACGGGCGCCGTATACATGTGCGCGACTATTATGGACCTGTTGATAGACAGCTATCTAGGCGTAAGGCCGCCGTAGGCAGTGCAAGTGACAGCATTAGGCGACACCGCACATGTATTAGGCAAAAGTGCAGCCGTTGTTTGACTTGAGCTGCGGCGCATCTTTTTCCTCTTGTCGGCTTTCTCCGTAGCTTTCCCGGTAGATGTCTCTGTTACAACGTTGACACTTTCTCATGTTCCCAACTACCGTAGAGAGTGAGCCCAAACCACGGTTGGAATGGTCTCTATGGTACAGCTTATAAGCTGCTTATGGTTAAAATAAGCTGAAATCAACAGCCAAACGCCATGTTTTTCAGCAGCTTATTCTGGTCACGCTTATTCCCACAGCTTCTATTTGTACTAAAAAGCAAAAGCTAGATCCGATCAGCTTATTTTGACCGCCGCTTTTACTCTATTTGTGTACCTTATCTGGAAAGCGCTTCTCAGATAAGCTGTATCAAACAGGGCCTATGTCTCATGCAGATGCCCCACTCAGAAACGTAATTTCCCAGCGTCACAGCTTCTGGTGAAACGAGATATGCCAAGGAATCTTTCCGGCTGATCCTAGCATCCCGCTGCATGCGTCCACTAACCTGTGGCTCCGGACCAGCGTTAGAAAATTATAATCCGGACCGGGCGCTGGATGCGGATGCATTCACAGATTATAGATCAGGGCCGTGTTTAGATTGCTTCAAAGTTTCAAGTTTTTTCACTCTCTCTTCATCACATCGAATCTATAGACACATGCATACAGCAGTAAATGTAAATAAAAAAATAACTAATTACACAATTTAATTGTAAATTACGAGACCAATCTTTTAAGCCTAGTTAGTCCATAATTAGACAATAATTATCAAATACAAACGAAAGTGCTGCAATGCTAAATTTTTCTAACTCTTGCAATCTAAGCAAGACCCGGAACAAATGGAAGCCGTGTCAGTCAGTAGCTATACTCGTGGCTATCCATGGTTTGGTTTTAGAGATATCTGGAGCAGGGCTACCTTATCTTATCTTATTATTTTACGGTGCCAGTTGCTATCACGTTGACTTCGTACCATCTTCGCTTCTGCTATCTAATCCACCAAGTCTGTCACCGTGTGACGATGGACAAATAACATACAGAAGATGAATTAAAACACACACCGTATTATCGTTTGGAAATGGTCAATGGATATACTCATATACAGACATAACAGTGGTGAGGTTGGTCATGGTGTATAAGTCGTTTGTGCTGATTTATACGACTAATTTATTTATAAGAGAAAAATATTGTACCGTGACGGATAAACCGGCTTCCCATCGGAGCCATGTCTGAGGCATTCGAAAGGCAAAGGCCAATGTGGAGTTGGGAACGCAGCAATCCTCCGTGCCTCTTCTCGTCAGCCACCGATTGGTCTACGAGACGCCGTAGCGCGACGTGACACGTACGCACGCGTGGAGCAGATTGCCCCGCCGTAGCGTGGCTGCCCCCGGCGCGCCAAGTGCCACGTCCGCTGTGACGGGGTGGATGTCACGGCTCAACCAATCAAAAATCGCTTGCCTCGTCTGGTCCGGCTATCGACTCTCCTTTTCTGCCTCACACAAGCAGACAAAAACCACCCAAGGGCGGGCCTCTTTGGCGTGGGCCTTTAGCTGGGCTAATTTTTCATCAGCCACTACTTTATACTAGATAATAATATGCCTTTAACTTTGGAACTTTAACTTTCTTCCTCTGCGTGCAATGCAGGCGCGGGCGTGTTCGGCCACCGGTCGGACTAGTTCCTTGGCCGGAAGGGTTCGCTGCAGGTGGTGTGCATCCTCAACGCCGCCTTCGGCCTGCTCACCGCGGCGTCCCCGAACTACTGGGCCTACGCGGCGCTGCGCCTCCTCACGGGCTTCAGCACGGGCAGCGTCGGCGTGCTGGCCTTCGTCCTGGCCACCGAGCCCGTCGGCCCCGCCCGCCGCGGCGCCGCGGGCCGGGATGTCCACCTTCTACTTCTTCTCCGGCGGCATCGCGGAGCTCGCGGGCGTCGCCGCGCTCTTCCCGCGCTCCTGGCGCGTGCTCTACGTCGTCACCTCGCTCCCGTCTCTCGCGTTCGCTGTCGCCGTCGTGCCGTTCGTCTCCGAGTCGCCGCGGTGGTACCTCGTGCGCCGACGCCCCGACGACACCCTAAGGGTCATCCGGGACATCGCCGCTACCAACGGCAGGGCCGTACCTGAGGATCTCACGCTCAGGCTCGACGAAGAGGACGAGGATGACGAGGAGGAGCAGGGGAAGGACGGTGGTGGGGGCACGGCCAAGGCGGCGGGGGCGTCCGCGTCCTCGGAATCCATCTTCGACGTGTTCCGGTCCCGGACCACGCGGGTGCGCCTCGTGCTCTCCGTACCCATCAACCTCCTCATCTCGGTGGTGTACTACGGCCTCAGCCTCAACGTGGTCAACCTCAAGACCAACCTCTACGTCACCGTCGTCGTCAACTCGCTCGCCGAGATGCCCGCCTACCTGCTCACGGCGCTGCTCCTCGACCATTTCGGCCGGAAGCCTCTCGCCATCGGCACCAAGCTGCTCAGCGGCGTCTTCTGCACCGCCGGGAGTCTCATACCCCGGCGCAGGGATCATGAGGTCCGTCCGTCAGACTGATAGCCTTTCATCAAGATTCAATTCTTCAAAATATCCATATATATGTTCCACTAACGAACGTGCACTTGCAAACTGCACACAAATGTGTACAGGGTGGCGCGGATGGTGTGCGGCGTGGTGGGCATCTTCGGCATGGCGGCGACGTACAACCTGTTGTTCATCTACACTGCGGAGCTGTTCCCGACGGTGGTGCGGAACGCGGCGCAGGCGGCGCAGATGGGGGCCATCGTGGCGCCGCTGGTGGTGATGCTCGGGGAGAGGCTGCCGTTCGCGGTGTTCGGCGCCTCGGGGATCGTCGGCGGCCTGCTCGTCTTCTACCTGCCGGAGACGATGAACAAGCCCCTGTACGACACCATGGCAGGGCTGGAGGAAGGGGAGAAGAGCGTTCTCGAGTGACACGATGGGGCGAGAGGTCTGTCAGTCGGTGGCAAATGCTGGGGGCTCAGATAAACGGTCTTCGGACCCTTTTGTAGTCTCGTGTTTAGGGAGAAAGTTTGCACAAGGCTGCATCGTCGGAATGTGCATCTCCAGTTCTCCACTGTCCTGTCTACTGAATACTGATCCTGTGAATAACACATATCGATCGAGGTATATATGCATGTGTTGTTTTCATCATGAAATCTAGACAAAATCGAGTGACTCGTCTGCAATAGTCGACAGGCACTGCAGGTTGCTGGCACGAGGAGGTAGCGCAATGCAACAATGCAAGACCCGAGGGCCTGTTTAGCGCAACATCAGCTTTCTAAACATAGATCCAGAGCATTAACTTCACCAGAGAGCAATTTCACTCTAAAATTGGTCTCTCACCAGAGAACTAATACACTTGTTTGGTTTGGATGACATTGACAGCTCTAGATCTAATAACTTTAGATGTCAAGATATTTTCAACAACTGACAAATACTATCAAAACCCTCTAGGACTGCTGAAAACAAGGGACAAACCATAGTCAGAACCCCTACAATCACCCCTATCGACAACAACTTACAAACTAGGAAGTTGAGAAACTATAGTCACAACCCCTGCAACGACCCTTGATCACAACATGCTACAAAATATAGGGCAATCCATGGACACAACTCCTATATAGAGATACTAAATCACAAGAAGCTACAAATTAGGGGCGGAGAGTGAGATAGTTAAGAACATGTGCCAATCCTAAATCAAAACATGCTGCAATTGGGGGACAAACTATAGTCACACCCCCTGCAGTAAACCCTAAAGAACATCAAGCATCAAACTATGGGCAAACCATGGTCACAACCTCTGGAGCGACCCTGGATCACAACATGTTGCAAACTAGGAAGCAAATTATAGTCTTAACCCCTATAATGACAATATATCACAACATACTTCAAACTGAGGCAACTCCAGCAGCTTCTCTAGAAATCTATTTGTATAGGCGGGTGCATCCAAAGACGCCTCTAATAATAGAGGCATTCAGAGAGGCGGGCTAAAATATCATCGCCTCTACAAATGTATTTATAGAGATGGCTTGGTTTGGACTGGTTTGTAGAAACGCTCAGAGAATGATGTGCCTCTATTAAAAAAAAGGAGGTGTTGCTAAAAATTAAATATGTAGAAGTGGAAGCAAGTTGAGCCGACATTAGGGCAAACCACATAACCCTATTCAATATGCCTGTTGCGACCTCTAATTAGTACGTGTGTTGTGATCCGTAATCATTACGGATGCTTCAACTATAATAAAATATATGAACAAGTAGTGACCCATGTTTGCAAATTCTAAAATAGTAGCAACCTGAGCGTTAGAAAGGCAAAGCCCATAACCCTAACTGGTGTGCCTGCTGCAACTCTAATGAGTATGCTTGTGAGGACCCCTAGTTAGTATGCTTAGAGCGTCTCCAAGAGACTCTTTATATCTTCCTAATTTACAGGAATAGAGGTTTTGGTGAAAAAAAATACACTCCAACAGCCTCTTCAATTGAATATTCAAATATAGATATCCTCTATTTCGGGTTTCTCGCTGGCCAAAGACGGAGGGTGATGATAGCTCTCTAGATTGCACACAAGATATAGAAAAATTGTTGGAGGGCAAAGATATAGAAATCGACTTTTACTCAAATGACTCTCCAAATGATGATTTAGAGAGTAAATTTTAGAAAGGCTTATTGCTGGGTATGCACATTGCAACTCATAATCAGTTAGGATGTGGTTACCCTAATCATTATGGACGAATAATATACCAGCCTCGGATCCAAAACTCTAAAAAGTAGCATCCTGAAAAGACGATAGGGGAAACCACATAATCCAAATATGTATGCTTGTTTTGACCTCTAATTGGTATACCTATCGCGACCCCTAAATAAAAGAATCTATATGATGTAGAAAACTTAAATTGATATCATTGACATAAATTTCTACAAGTTATATATAGACACCATGTCGTGTAAAGATTTGTCCACTTATGTATAATTGCAAACAAAATCAATAAAAAACGTTATATATTTAGTACAAAAGTATCTACATTATATATAAATAAGTTGTTATTACACAAAATATATTTTGGAATTTATGAATCGTGGACGTAGGTTCATAGATCTCATCGTGGTGGTGCAGTACAAACAAAATATAAAAAAAACGGACTATATATGTGAGAAAGTCATCACATTTTTTTTTTTTTGAGGAAAAGTCATCACATTTGTTAAAGATCAAAGCAAAAGTGAAAATCAAAGTGGCCCACGACACCATGCCCCTCCCGCCGGGCCTCAGGAGGCGCAGCAGGCCGCTAATGCATAACACGCCCGCCCCCGCCCCCCCCCTGAGGTAGCCCATGCGTAATCCGCAACCCGACGGCAGTTCGTATTGGGCCTCGCTCAGGGCCGGCCTTTTGTCATCGCAATTAGCACAACGCAATCGATATGCATCGCGAACATCCAGCGGCAGCTGAGCCTGGTTCTCAGAGAGCGAGAGAGCAGTCAAAGTTAGACCCTGTTTAGTTGGAACCCAAATTCCAAAAAGTTGCTATAGTACCTGTCATATCGAATGTTTGTGGTCTGTGCATGGAGCATTAAATGTAGACAAAAAGAAAAACTAATTGCACAGTTTGGTGGGAAATTGCGAGACGAACGTTTTGAGTCTAATTAGTCCATGTTTGAACACTATTTGCCAAATAAAAACGAACATGCTACAGTAGCCCCAAAATCCAAATTCATAGAACTAAACCAGGCTTATATTATAGGATTCGGGAAAATTTATCGCCTTAAATAGGCTCAACTCTGTGCTATGGGGTTACTAGTACAGAGAACGGATTGTGGACAGTTTCAGAGGATTGCGTCATTGGCTCATTGCATGGCGAGGGTCGGGTCCCGAGCCGGTGGGTCAAGCTGGGACGGGGGGCAGTCAAAGTGAGCAGGTGGCCGGTGAAGGACTTGTCACGTCCCTCGTCCCATCTGCCTGCTGCTGCTGCTGCTGCTGCTGCCTTGCCGTCCCGTCCTCCCGTCCTCCATGCGCCACGCCACGCCAGCGATCCGGCCGGGTTCCGCTCCGCTCGGCTGCTGCGCTGAAGGGTCCCGCCCTTCCCGTCCGTCGCCCCTTCCTCTTCGGGCTCCTCTGCCTTTCACGGATCGGGGCGCTTGGATGGGACTCGTGACTTTCGTGAGTCGCGACGAGGCAGGGGAGGACCGAGACCGACCGACGAAAAGGGGCTCGAGCATTGCCGTGGCGTCCGGCCGGCCGCTGGCCCCGCCCGACGCCGATCGAAGCTTATCTCGGATCCTGTATCTCTGAGCCTGCGATTTTGTGGAAGAAACGAAAACGACCGGGAGCGGAGCATGTTTCGGTCGCGTGTTTTGTGTTGTCCGTCACCGTCAGTGCGTACGATGCTGATCTGACCAGTCTCCGTGCTAGTACTTGCGCTGTTGCGCACAGGCCACTCCCGCTGCTTCCACATTGTGCTCGTCAATCACCACATAGGAGGCCTTTTGGTCTTTTGGTTTAGGCCACGTTTAGTTCAAAAAATTTTGGTTCGTGGTTATCACATCGAATCTTTGGACGTATATATGGAGCATTAAATATAGACGAAAAAAATAAATTATATAGTTGGGTGAAAAATCGTAAGACGAAACTTTCAAACCTAATTAGTCCATGATTAGACACTAATTGCTAAATACAAACGAAAATGCTACAATTACAAAACCCAAAAAAATTCGCGAACTAAACATGGCCTATATTTATCCTGGATTGTCCAATAAAACGCACCGGGGATTGGGCTTTTGGATACTGGAATCATGGAACTCCTACTGCGTCGCCTTGTAGAACAAGGTTTTGATGCCATTTCCTTCAATTTCGTAGGTCTGGGTATTTGTTCAACAACTAATAAAAAGCATCATTTTCTTTAAAAAAAAAGAAAGTCAAGAGCGTCAAAGATGTTTTGCTGGGTAGAGATGGAAACCTTTTCGGACATAGTACTCCCTTTAAGTTTGTCATTTTAAAACTTGATTTGACCGACAACTACTAGTCTATGAACATTTCAGTGCAAAGACATAATCTCTCAGTTCTCAAAAAGATTTGACTAGTCAAAGCCAAACTATTATAAGCTTAACCCAACTTATAAAAAGATGTATGGATATTTATGATATCACGTTAATACATTCAATATGTTATAATGTAGTTTCATAGTATATCGATTTGGTGGTGTTATATTGTTGATATTTTTCTCTATGGGCGTGTTCGCTGGTCTGAACAAATCAGACCAGCCGGCTGGTTTCCCACTCATTTCACTGTTCATCAAACCAGCCAAATAATATTTTCTCTCACAAAACCAGCTAGTTTTACCCAAATTTCAAATCAACGAACAGGGCCTATAAATGGAATTGAATGCTTTCTCATTTTACATATGAAAAACAAATGTAGTTGTAACTAGCCCAGTTTTCAAGAAAATAGCTCTGATGTACCTGACTTCATCAAATTTGTGGTCGCCCCTGCTCCGTTCGATTCTAGATTACAAGTTTTTTTTAAGTGCATAACTTTTACAATCTATCTATATACATCGTATATTTCAGCACACAACAAAAGGTATGTACATTAAAAAGTCAAGACTGACTTATATTTTTAGAACAGATAGCAAATTTGACCATGTGTCTTAATCAACTCTGCAAACACCAGTTGACCTTTTTCCATTTTTTTCAAAGGTGTCGTTTGGATGAGATAAAGATTCTTGGATCTTGGCATCTCATATTGGGCTCGTTCGGCTGGTTGAAAAACCAGCCGGATTTTACTATGCGCAGATGAAAACACTGTTCACTCTCACACGAATTCCTTCAGATTTCTCTAAATTCCTCCCAGCGAACAGGGCCATTATTGGTGTTGAAAGTACTCCAGAATGTAGTCTATTTGGATGGAATTATGGGATTCTAAGTTTATTTTATTGAATTCTTGGAATCCGTCTATACATTTGTTTAGACTTATTGTTAACCTGGATTTTAACATCAGGAACTGAAAATTATATATATATATATCGGTAGGAGCGGGTCTAAAAAAAGGATAGACATTTGCTACCCTCGGGTTTGTTTGGAACCAAACAGTTTAAAATCGTAAGCCATTTTAATCTTTTTTTAGGAACATAACTAGTTATGCATCTAGTTATACAGTATGTCAAGATATATTTGAATCCAGAAAAGCTAAAAACAGCTTACAATTCGTAACGGATGTAGTAGTTGGTAGCACGAGGTGTGTCAACCCTTCATTGCATTAGAAGGATACCTCTACCTTTAGAAGTTGTCTCACAATAAATGCACATTTGGATCATCAACCACCTAGATTTAATGGCCCTGTCGGGTTCATAAACCCGGAGTCCCTCGCGGACCGGCTTTTCAATAAAGGCTCGGCCCAAGCAGACAAATGCACAACTCGTGGGCCGGCCCAAGTATCTGAACGATAGACCAGAAAGGCAATCCGATCACCGACCGAAAGGTCTGGCCGAGGAGGAACGGCACCCATCTTCCGACTCTGGCGCACCTCTCCGACCGGAGCGCTCGCTTCGGTCTCCAGCCCGCCTCTGGACGGCCTCTCCGACCGGAAGGCCTGGCCAAACCACTACTTCCGACTCCGACCCCACGTCTCCGACCGGGATACACGAATACCTTGCTCACTGCACTTCTCCGACCGGCGCAATCAGAGCCGGCTGGGACAAACCGACTAGAGACGTCCGCTCGAAAAGGACCAGGGAACGAACAGAGAAAGCAAGGCAAGGCGCACAAGTCAAAACACGATACCAGGGACCGTACCATTTACACATGTAGGAACAGTACTCTACAACCACCTTGACACAAACAGTGTTGTAGGCGCCGATATTTTTCCTACAGTATTGTGGGCGCCGTTAACTCCCTTACAGTAAGGCTCCCCCACATGCCTCTGGGCATCGCCAGTGTTGTGGGCGCCGGGATTTACCGTACCGAGTGAACACGACGAAACCCCTCACATGCCTTTGGGCATCAACAGTATAGCAGATACCGACATCTGCCATACCCGAACAAGACGACGTAACCTCCCACGTGCATCCGACATCCAACAGTGTTGTGGGCGCCTACCATCATCCTATACCCGTCGACGTGGGAAACAAGGTTCAGAAGCATACGTACTATCTCCCTCTCACTTGTAAGCCCATCCTCTTCATCTTTAAAAGGGGACGTGCTCTCTCCCAAGAGACTAAGTTAATCCAGGTTCATTCAAGTGCTTCCAGATTCATTAGATCGATCAAGTAAACTAGCTCACAACCACAGAACCGCCAGGTTCGGACCTCAAGCATACACTTGAACATTTAGCTCATAGCGGAGCTCCTGTCGCTCTCGGACCTTCCGACCGGAGCCGACCGGACCTCTTGTACCCTCCATCTTTCTCCTTCTTGTTTGTAACCCCACTGCAAACTTTGAGCACCTGGGCTCAGGAATAAAGTCATCGACCGACTCAAACTGGACGTAGGGCACGTTGTCTAAACCAGTATAAACCCTGTGTCATTGAGTGCTAGGCCACCTCCGATCACAACATACGGCAAAACTACAAATATTTACTTGTTGGTCACTTTCTGCACCTACAGGCCCCATTCGCTTCGCTGAAAAAACAAGTTGAAACACTGTTCCGGCTGATTTGTTGTGAGAGAAAACACTGTTCTGGCTGAAAAGATAAGCCGAAAAGTACGGATTATAAGACAAGCAACAGGGCTAATATGCAGCCTGCTCGTTTGGTCGTATTTGGCTTATAAGCCATGGCTTATCAGCCAACCAACAATATTTTTCTCTCACACCAAATTAACTAAACGTACTTTCAGCCATGACTTATAAGCCAAACCAGCCCAAACGAAAAGGGGATGATTTACTGATTTCTCTATTTTCAAAGTGCAATTACTACATGCCAGATAACTTTTGGCGGGATGTATTTTTATTTTCGAGCATCACCAATCTCCCCAAATATTCTAGAAGTGCACTTATTTGGGACGCGGGAGTAACGATTTTTATTGTTATGGCTGTTAGAATTAGCTAATAGCCGCTCCATTCTAAATGATAAGTTGTTGTAGTTTTGTTCTAAATTTAACCTTTTCAGATTTGACTATCAAATTACTCCAGTTTTGTTAGATACGCCATGGAATATACTCCACCCGTTGTAAAACCCGTTCTAAAATAACAGCATGCATAGGGTCAACAATCTTCTCTCTCCCAAAGTTCACCAAATCTATAAGATATTGTCAATATTTCTAGTAATATTATAATATTTTGGAAAATGTTAGTATTTTTTAGTATAATAATTGACCATGAACTTAGTTAAAATTAAATATGGTTAATCAAATTTTTAAATAAAACAAATAATCAATTATTAGTACTAGCCAAGTCGCCATGAGAACCTCGCCTAGCCGGCTTTGCCAATAGCTTTGGTTTTGCGGGTTCGTTTCGGAGGAGCGCATGGCGAGGGCGGGGGTCTGGTCTCGGCCCGGTCAAGGCGCAATCAAGCTGCGACGGGGTGCAGGGCAGGGCAGGGCGGTCAGAGCGCGCAGAAGAAGCTGGCGAATCAAAGGCGGGGATTGGACCTGTCTCGTCCCGCGCCTGCCGAACTTGCCGTGCCGCCCGCACCAACCAGCCCTCTGTTGCGGTCCCGCCCGCCCCGGCGCCGGCCCCGCCTTCCGTTTCGGGTCTCTTCGGCTTTCACGCACCGGGGCGCGCGCGGTTGCATGGGCTCTCTAATGCGCGTGCCTGCCGTGCCGAGGCCCGAGGCGGCCGCCCCGCCCGCTGGGACCGACCGTGTGAGCCCGTGACCCGGGTGGATTTCGCCAAGACTTCTGAGCTTATCGCGAAGCACACGGAGTTTTGTGTTTGGTGCTCCACTGTGCGTGCGAGCGATGCGATGTTGGTCAGTCTCCGTGCTAGTCGCCGCACTGTGTGTTGGCCGATGTTTCGCTGTTTAGGTGGTTGCGGTCTTCGACGATGATATTTGAATTAATATTTCTGTCGGCCTATTCGTTGACTGGTTTTGGACTGATTTAGACTGACTGGTACTGGTTTATTGGGAGAGAAAAACACGGTTGGCTGACTAGTTTTGAGCTGATTTAGACTGACGGGTGATGAAACCAACAAACGAACAGACTGTATGACCTTTCATAGATATTTGAAAAACGATAATAAAGAAAAATAATCCTGAAAATATATGAGAGTGTGATCTTTTCTTGCGGCTATGTTTTGGCAACAACCTACCCTCAACAGCTACACATTACCAGGCAGTCCAGAGAATCATAGCAGCTAAACCGGTTACAAAAAGTTTTGAGCTGCAATCAATGACTTGTGCTGTGCAGCCAGCCAAACACAGCTGCAAAAAGGCAGAAGCGAGCAAGCCCATAATCCGTATGCCTTCTCATTCGCAACCTATGAAAACAATTGGAATCAGTACTAACCAGCTTAATTTTCGGAAAACTAGTTATTACTGTTGAATCAGACTCTATCAAACTTACTGCGAACTTTAGCTTTGTTTATCTATTTCAAATTCTCCATAAACATGTTGATGATATTCCTCTAAGGCTAAATCAAATTCTTCATAAATTCACTTGACGATATTCTTCCTACTTTAAAGTCTAAAACTACTAACTACCCTATAATCTTTAAAACAAGAAACAAAAGCAGAGTAGCAACAAATTTACAAAAAAGGAACAACCTTATGTTAAATTAGGAAGCATAATATTTTCATACCAAAGTGAGTGCCCAATAATTCAATCAAACAAAAAATAAATAACTTGAGGGGGGTATTGGCTAATCTAAAGGTAGGAAGCCAAAACCGGCCTTTCTTCCTCTCTCACAAAATAGAAAAAGACCTTCCTCGTCGCTTCTACCCACTGACACTGGGACCCACTATGACGCGACCCACATGTCAGTGAAATTCGGAAACCCTCCTCCGTCCCATTCCCACCAGACCCATCCCACCGGGCCCGGTCGCCTCAGATTCTCGACAGTCCACGTTAAATAGGCCACCCCAGTCGCCTTCCTTTCCTCATTCCCCCACCACACCGCATCCGCCTCCCCGTACCATCTAGGGTTTCTAGGGTTTGCGTGGAGGGTTCTTGTGGGTGTCCGGCCGGCGGCGAGAGGGGAGATGGCGTCGGAGAGGGTGACCGGGACCGTGAAGTGGTTCAACGTCGACAAGGGTTTCGGGTTCATTACCCCCGACGACGGCAGCGAGGACCTCTTCGTCCACCAGTCCTCCATCAAGTCCGACGGCTACCGCAGCCTCAAGGACGGCGAGGCCGTCGAGTACACCGTCGGCAGCGGCAACGACGGCCGCACCAAGGCCCTCGACGTAACCGCGCCCGGCGGCGGCAACCTCGCCGGCGGGGAACGTCCCGAAGGCGGCAACGGCGGCGGTGGACGCTACGGCGGCGGCGGCGGCGGCTACGGGGGAGGAGGCGGCGACCGCGGCTATGGTGGAGGAGGCGACCGCGGCTACGGGGGCGGAGGCGACCGTGGGTACGGCGGCGGCGGCGACCGTGGCTACGGCAGCGGAGGCGGCTACGGTGGTGGTGGCGGCGGTCGCGGATGCTACAAGTGCGGCGAGGAGGGCCACATGGCAAGGGACTGCTCCCAGGGCGGCGGCGGCTACGGAGGCGGTGGTGGCGGCTACGGAGGCGGCGGCGGTGGCTACGGAGGTGGCGGTGGCGGTGGCCGCGAGTGCTACAACTGCCACCAGGAGGGCCACATCTCCCGCGACTGCCCCGAGAAGAGGCGCTAGGCGCGGCGCCACCGTCGCGTCGGGTCCGGCGGAGTCCCATGTCTCTCGCCAGGTTCCCTACCCGCTCAAGGCATCGCTCGGCTGACTCTGCGTGAAGTCGTCGGAGCCCGCAATCTATCAGTAGTAGTAGCAGTGTCGTGTTTCGTTCTGGTCGATCCTATCGTCGGTGGTGGTAGCAAGAAAAGCAAGCCGTATGGAGAAGTATCAGTATCTTTGTGTTGGAGTCAGTTGTAAGGCAGCCATGATCATGGATGGCTCTGCCCGATCTATCAGTCATGAACTATCTATAATATATCAATGCAATCGAGTCGTTGTTGGACATTGTGCACCTATCATATACTGGAATGCAATTGATTCTTTGGTTGCAGTTCGTTCTTGTTTCGTCTTTGCAGCGATCAATCTCAGCGTCTTTTGTGTGTTAGATTGAATGAATGAATTATGATGCAAAACCGCAGCATGTTTTGTGTGTTAGATTGAATTATGTTGGGTGGGTGTGACGGGGAAAGGAGATCGGGAAATTACTACTACGAAATTTTCAGTTCACCCGAAGATGAAAAATCCTGTGGAAAGGGGAAGAGGGATGCTCAGATGGATGGTGTGGTAAAGAAAGGGTGTCGTAAAAGCAAGCAGGCACCAGGCGATGCAGACTGCAGACTGGCATGGCACGGCACGGGCCTGCTGGCTGGCTGGCTGGCCTGCACGGCACAGCACTGCAGATTGGCAGAGGGCAGACTCGCCAGACTCTGTTTTGTCCGCATCGCGGGGCGGTTGCGAAAAAGCGATGGGGGTTTCCATTTCTGTTGCGAAAAAGCCTGTGGTGTGTGGTGTACTGGTGTGGGTGTGGCGTACAGTACTTTCCCATCCCATGGCCGATCTTCTCTTCTTCATTTTACCTTTGGCCCCCGTTCCGTCCGTGAATCCATTTCCCAAGATTTGATTGAAACGAATCCCAACCAAATCGCATTCTCCAAGAGAGTTGGTATTGGCACTGCTACGGTTAAAAGGCGTGTAGGGTCTAGCGGTGCTGTTTTGCACGGGGAATCTTGCTTGTTTCGTGCCACGGAACGAGGGAAAGCTGTGGACCACGTTTTCAGGTTACACAAGTGCAGAGTCCAGGCATCCAGCCTGTGGCCGCGTACATCTTGATCCAAGTTTGCTGACTCTGTAAAGTAGTAATTTGTTCTCGTTTTCGTCAAGGAAGCCGTGTTCTGGACTGGAACGAAAGGCAGGTCCGCCATATTCCTCACAGCTGTTTTCCTGTGGGCATGCACGTACGAGGGCTACGAGGTGACCGCGGATGTGTGATGCACGGCGGCAGACGGCAGTAGCGCTTGAGCATGCGTGGGCTAATTTCCCGGATGAGTCATAGCGTAAGCCCACTGCCAATTCGCGGAAGGAGAGTTCGTAGCGGGCCTCAGGGCCGTCCGTTCATGGACCCATTGCACATCACGGATGCGCGTACCAGGCCAGCAGGCGTTACATACAACACGTGGCCCGAGAAGGAAGGAGGAATTTGTAGCGGGCCTCAGGGCCGGTCGCTCATGGCCTTGGCCTATTGCACATCACGGATGCGCGCGAACCAGGCCAGCCGTACAGACGTCCACGTCCAACCCAAATCCACGACGCAGCGCGGGGACCTGGCCTGGCCTACGCTACGCTGCGTGGAGCCGTGGACGCACGCAGGGCCAGAGCCGGCCGGCCAGGCCACCGGGCACGCGGAAACAGCGACGGGACGGCAGGCGATACATGCTCGCCGTCGCCGAACAAGGCTGGTGCTACAGTTACCGGAGCCTCGATGTCACGTGTCAGCAATGGTCCCTGTCGTTATCTACTAAGGGTACGCTGCAGGCGGGACAGGGCCGCAAGTCGACCGAGCTTATCGCAGGATTAGTTGAGGCTCGGGTTCATCGGAGAATCGAACGAGCTCTTTACATTCACCGCTCGAATTGACGGTTCTGAATTCACCATCTGCTCAGCTACGCATCCTTGGAAACCTTTCGCTTGCGGATTTTTTTTTAAACGTTTCCTATAAAATGACTCAAATTTTTAGCCATAAAACAACTGAAATACAATCTATTTTCTAAAAGCATTATAATTGAATAAGGGCATACAATTTCTTAACACAGAAGAGGCAAAATAAAGAAACCAATCATTTGCCGATTGGATCAAGCAATGCAAAAGCAAGAATCGTTTCAGAGCGATTCTCTTTGAAATGGTTGAGATCCGTCTGTTTCTAAAGGTTCCACTTCAGAACTCGGAAGGTATCGATGTGCCAAACAGCTCAGTCTCAGGCGTTGATGATGCAAGCGAACCCTGGAGCTGGATATTTTGTTTTGTCCTGATGGACTTGAAGTGAAGCAGATGCAAAATCTCTCAGGATTCAAATCGATGCAGGCAATGATACACGCAGAGCGTAGCTGGCCCGGACGTCACGGGGCACGCAGGCGCTGCCTTCGATTCAGGCCATGCTGCCCCACGCATGCGGCAGTCCCTCCAGCACCAGCGTCCAGGCAGCCGGCAGCAGCGTGTTCCGTTCCGGCTCCCCTCCTGACTCCTGAGGCGATGTGACACGACGTAAGGTGGGCCGTGGGCCGTGGGCCGTGGGCTGGCGGAATCATGAACAGCGCGCGCCGATCGAATGGCTGCGCTTCCTACTCTGCACCAGCAGCCTCCTGTCCTGCCTCCATGGGCAGGAGCAATCATCTCGCCCCGGCGCACATCTATCATCGCCACACGCCGTAACGCCATGGGCCATGGCACGTCGCTGCTGTCACGACGGTCCACCGAGGAGGGAAGGCTGGAAGCGAGCGGTTGGCTGCGACTACAAACATCACGTGCGCATTCCCAATCGCAGCACCATGTCGGGCTCTCGGGTGTTAAGCGGGCTCCACTCAATGGTACAACAGAAATAAAAGTGAGTTTTAATGCCTCTATTAGTCCATGGCTTATGCTTGTGCTTACCCGTGCCTAGAAAGTTTACCGTGAGCGCCGGGCGGAGTGTGTTTGAGTCTCTCTTTGTTTCACGGATAAAGGCACGAGGACGGGCGACGTTACAGCCTCTGTCGCGCAAGGGACAAGCAGCGCCTCGCCGTACTAGTACTCGTACTCGTCTTCTTCCTCTACAGCGTCCTCTGTCACAGGAGCAGCGAGATGCACGGGGAGGAAGAAGACGAGAGATATTTTTTACTGATGAGACGAGGACACTGGACATCATCCATCCGCGGATGGGCGCAGCGCGAGCGGGGTCACTCACGTGACGGCTCATTCATGTCCGCTCGTTTCGTCGTACGCGCCCATGATGAATGCGTGCTCCCTGCTCCGTTTGCAGCAGAGGGCTTCGCCGTCGTATGTGGCGTTTCAGAATTCAGACTATGGCCCCGTCTCGTGAGGCTTGCAACAATTGCAAGGGCTCCGGTCCTAGATTCGTAGGACTGTTCGGCAGCACTGGTTGCTGCTGCGGTAGATTCGTATGATTAATTTGTTATAAGAGAAAAATATTGTTTTATTACTGAAAAGTAGAGTTGATTTTGACTGATAAGCTCAAACGAGTAGGGCCTTAGCTGTTCATGTACTGTAGCAGAAGCCAAGCAAAAGCAAGCCCTTCAAAGGTAGCTTCGCTCGTTGTCAAAAAGAAAAAACACCACCGGCGAGACCTCCCCCTCACTCGTCGGCCGGGACGCTGAGATTGCCATTGTCGATTTCTCAGTTCTGTTTCTTGGAGTCCGTTTGAATACATGGAAGATTTTGGGATTCTAATAGAAAAACTATGCATCATCCAATCCAAACGGGAGTAGGCTAGATTCTTGAAGTCACAACTCTCAAAAGGTTTGAAAATCTCAGAATCCCGAACATGGTAGATAATATAGATTTTTAGAAACCCAGTTCATCCAAATGGCACCTTCGAGTGTTTCCGCGAGGAAGACGATGCCATTTTGTGCCTGCACGAGTGAGCGGTTGGACGCAGGACGTGGTGGAGGCTAATGGGCCATGTAAAAGGTAAGGATTCGTTTGGATACCCCATGAATTGCGAAAGTTGGCTTTTAAAAGCTAGTGCCACGTTCGTTTGGCTGATAACCAATGGCTGAAATTACTGTTGACTGATTTATTGTAAGAGAAAAATACTGTTCGTTGGCTGAAAAAGTACGGCTTATAAGCCAAGCGAACAGAGCGTAGATTAATTAAAGCTGCATTAGATAAGTTGAATTGATAGCAGCCTGTTCGCTTGCTCGTATATGGTCGTGGATTATAAGCTAGAACAATATTTTTCTCTCACACCAAACCAGACAGCAGTAAATAATCCACGATCGACGACGAAACGAACAGGCCGCTAGGTTGTTCGGATCCATTGCTTATTAAAGCTGACATAGGGGGGCTTTATAGACAAAATTACCAAAATGCCCTCGGTTCTTTTTCTTTAACATAGTGGAGAGAGAAATAGTGTGGGGGCAAAATTGTCTTTTGATGTCTAGAAGCTGAAAAAAGCTAGGTTAGATCAACTTCCTACGTTATGGAATATGGGGTGCTCTAGATTGTAAAAGTTAGGCGAGAGGTGTGGCTGTTTGGGACTCCCTAGAATTTAGCTTCTATAATCTACCGGAATTCAAACATGCCCTAAATATGGCTAGTCCCAACAGAAGATGAATCGTTGATGCCCTTGCCATTACAGTCTCGGCATGCATCCACGTATCCACCGAATGGGGAGGCAATGACGTGACGATCGATCGCGAGTGGCAACATCACTTCAACACGCCTGGGAACGACGCCCCTTGACAGCAGGGAGCCGGAGGGCCTCCACGCCGCCGCCGCTGGCCACCACGGGATTATGCACAGCGACCGTGATCCAGTTACATCAGATTGGACCAAACGGGCAAAAAATAAGTACAAAGGTTACAAAAAATCGAGCTATCCTGTTGTGAATTTGTATTAGAAAACATCAAATCGGTATGTTCGTTCACAGTCACAGCCTGATTTCATCTTTCAGTTATCATCATATATTAAAAATTTATGTTTTGTATAATTGAAACGTCATTTATGATATTGCACATCTTTAGGGCCAGATATATATTGTTATTTTGACATGTTATTATCTAATTGTTTTCTATATATTTTCTCTATTAGACAAGTTAGCAATAAAAAAAGTTCATCATAGGTGGATTTTTTCTTTGGATCCGAGCACTGATTTCATCCCTGCTTGCATTGCACGTACGGGTAAGTGGGCAAGGTGCCAAGCTGGTACTCTGCGTACTACTACTACATGGTACGTAGTCCATCGCGAAAATGGGTTAGCAAACCCTTTGGTACGAGTCGAGCCAACACAAAACATCTACTCGCTCCTACACCTACTGCTGAGCCAACAGCCCAACACAGCTGCCGACCTGCGGTGAAGTCCGTACATAAGGTACGGAGTACGTACGTACACTTTGTGTAACCGCAGGATGCTGAGCTGTATAGCAACGGTACATTTTTTAAATTTGAAGGCTCTATTCGTTTCGTTGAAAAGTCACGGCTGAAAATACTATTTATTGATTTTTTGTGAGAAAAAAATACTCTTTCTTCGCTGAAATAGTACCTAAGACAAAAGAACAGGGCGAAATCGCTACCGATCGACTCATCGACTTCAGCCAAAGTCGCTAGCTTTCAAAACGTTTTTGGCCTACCATTGGACACGGGCAGCGAAAAGAACGATTGAGGTCTTATTTAGTTTGTCTCCTAAAATTTACTTTCTATCTCATCAAATATTAGACACATGTATAGAATATTAAATATAGACTAAAAAAATAACTAATTACACAGTTTACAACTAATTTACGAGACAAATCTTTTAAGCATAATTAACCAACGATTTGACAACATGATGCTACAGTATACATATGCTAATAGCAGATTAATAATATTTAATAAATTCGTTTCGTGGATTACGGATGAATTCTATAATTTATTTTTTATTAGTATCCGACCACTCGGACATCATCCTCCTGTAACACCTGACGGCGACACCTCCATGCTTTACGATTTAAACTAAGGCCCCGTTTAGTTCCAAACCAAAAACTAAAAATTTTCGAGATTCTCTGTCACATCAAATCTTGCGGCACATGTATGGAGTACTAAATGTAGACGAAAAAAAACTAATTACACAGTTAGCCGAGAAATCGTGAGACAAATCTTTTAAGTCTAAATAGTTCATAATTAGACAATTTTTGCCAAATAAAAACGAAAATACTACAGTAGCCAAAAACCAAAAAATTTCGGAACTAAACGGGGCCTAAGGCAGGAGTCGAGCTCCAAACCCCCTTTCCGTTTCGCCTTTCCCAGGAGGAGTCCAGGATGGGCCAACTAGGGAGGGGAAGTAAAAGCGTGTGGCATTATTGCGGCTGACGTCACTGTTACTGCTCTGAAAGACGTGGGTCCCGCGCGTCAGCCAGCGGAGCTGAACCGGGGGCCCAAATAGTGCGCTGCGCTGCGCCGGGCAGGCCAGCTGCCAGGTATCCGTTGGCTAGCTGTGGGCTGTGTGGCTGGGCCGCTGGGGCCTGTGGTGGCTGCTCCTTCTGCCTCGACCTCTGCGCGCGCACGCAACAGAGGGAGGGAGGACAGTTGCCGTGCGCCAGCCATCCTTTCGCTTTGACGCCTCCTGCGCGATTCCCGGCTGATCGCATGTGCACAAAACATGCAGGACGTGTGGTCTCGTTGTGTCACTCACATCACATGTGCGTGACTTGCTGCATTCGTGGCGATTTTCTGAATATTCAGGTGTATGGCTTGCCGTATGTTGGTTTTCTCGCTTAAGGACACGTGTAGTGTAGATCAACGGACTACAGGATTAATCTGCCCTTAGATAACAGGCTGCTGTAGATATAAATTAACCAAACGTTTAAAAACGAGTAAGCCCTTGTTTGGTTCGCGAAAAGTTTTCCCAAAAAGTGCTACAGTATTCGTCACATTGAATCTTATGGTACGTGCATGGAGCATTAAATGTAGACGAAAATAAAAACTAATTGCACAGTTTGGTGGAAAATTACGAGACGAACGTTTTGAGCCTAATTAGTCTATGATTGAACACTAATTACCAAATAAAAACGAAATTGCTACCGTACCCAAATTTCGCACTTTTCGCGAACTAAACGCGCCGTAAGAAAAGGACTGATCGACAAGACAAACATTATTATTCGCCTCGGTGTTAGCGCCTGCGCTTCCACCCAAAGCGAAAAGACGAGTGGAGCGGTCTCGGAAATGAGCTCGAGGCTAGCAAAAAGCTTTGCCCGTGCTCGTGCAGGTGCAGCGGACATCGCGGGACATGCCTTGTGAGGATGCGTGCAAGCCCATCATCGTGCACGGCTCGCGCTCATTCACAGCTGGATGAAAGGAGCGTCCAGCACGGCTCACCGCCTTGGGACCTGTTCCTAATCGAGCTTAGAACCTACGTACGTACAGTAGAACTTGCATTCGTACAGTACAGGTGATTAACAAATCGTCAAGACTGAAGACCGAATGCGGCACATCCTCGGGTATTTGTTTGTTCGTCTGGAGCCTGGAGCTGGTTGCATTGCCTCTCTTCGCTCTGCACTGCTACTCGTATATGCACTGTCATCATGTCCGAGTACGTACTTGACAGAGAGCAATAATTTCGAGCGACAGGCTAATGCTTGTTTGTTACGAGTACCTAAAGACTACAGCGGTCATCAGAGCGTAGTAATTTGTAGGCCCGTGCATTTGAGCGACGTAATTAGCCCGCCCCGTATGTACTACTCAGCATTCGTGTACGACGCTTCAGCCGTGCCGGTGCTGGTGTCTGCCTTCTCCGTGAAGCCGTACCGTGCCAGCCACAGGCGTGCGGTAGACGGAAACCAGACGTTCACCATGCTGCACAGTACTCTACTTATTATTACACGCGCCTTTACTCCATACAATTAAGGCGCGGTTAACTATTGTGTACTACTGCGGCTCCAGTAATAATAATAAATCCCAGCTACTGCCTTTTGTACACTCTCTTTTTCAGTTTTCATTTCACACGACCCTCGCTCGCTCCCTTCTCGCTTTGCCTTTTACCGTGTCGCGTACGCCCGGCGCCCTGCCCCTGCACTGGAGCGCCAGCTGTATCCAGCCGGGACCGCACCGCGCACTCATCCCTACCAGGTCCCCGCTTTGCCCCAAGCCCCAACGGCTACCTGGCCTCCGACGTGGCGCCACCCTTCCATCGCAAGCCTGCTTTATATAACGCCCCGCCCTGGCCTCGCCATTGTCTCATCAGCTCCCTCGCACGGTATCAGCCTGCCTCCCTGCCCATAGCACAGCAGCAGCAGGGCAAGTGTGAGTGAGCGAACAAGAGGGGCGCGGTGGCAATGGCGCTGTGGAACGGTAGTGGTGGCGGTGGAGCCTTTCCCGCCGCGGCGGTCTCGGCCGTGCTGGTGGCTGCGGCCGTGGCGGCGCTGCTGGGCGCCGGGGTGGCGGCCAGCAAGTTCGACGACGTGGTGCAGCCCAGCTGGGCCAACGACCACATGGTGTACGACGGCGACCTCCTCAAGCTCCGCCTCGACGCCAACTCCGGCGGCGGCTTCGTGTCCAGGAGCAGGATCCTGTACGGCAAGGCCAGCGCCGACCTCAAGCTCGTGCCGGGGGACTCCGCCGGCGTCGTCACCGCTTTCTATGTGAGTGAGTGCAGGCACCGCATACTCGCATTGCTTTGCTTCCCTTGCATTCCCCCATCATGTTGTGTGCTACTGAAGTCGGTCGAATGCTGCTACTACTTTCTGTTGCGCGCGCATTCATACTGCATTTGGCAATCCAGGCATTGATCTGTGCAAGTGTGCATTTCTTGCTATTATTGTGGCATCCGAATCTGCCACTGCCATGCATTTCTATGTATTTTATTTTATTTATTTATAAAAGACTCAAAACTAGTACATGCATTTATAAAAGAATGAAAAGTCTAAAATAGGGTAAAATGTGTCCGGCACATCATTAGATAAAGTTAGGGAAGCTGCCAAGAACCAATTTACAAAGAACAAGAGCACGTGAACAAGTGCAGAGTACATGATGGAGCAGTAGTCCTAGTAGCTTTTCTTCTTTTAAAGTAAAGATGCCACTTTTACTAATCAGCCCAATGAGAAGTAGTAGTAGATGATATGCACGTTCAACCTCGGGTGAAACTGTGACAGTGAAGCTAACATAACATCTGCAACGTTTTTCTCCAGTTGTCGTCCGCCGGGGACAATCACAACGAGTTCGACTTCGAGTTCCTGGGCAACGTGACCGGCGAGCCGTACCTGGTGCAGACGAACCTGTACATCGACGGCGTGGGCAACCGAGAGCAGCGCATCGACCTGTGGTTCGACCCCACCGCCGACTTCCACACCTACGCCGTGCTGTGGAACCCCAGCCAGGTGGTGTTCATGGTGGACGACACGCCCATCCGCGTGTACGAGAACCGGCAGAACGCCACCATGCACGGCCACCACCACCGCCACGGCGGGAATGCCAACGGCACCACCAACACCACCTCCCCGCCGCCGTTCCCGGGCCCGCAGCCGATGGCCGTGTACAGCTCCATCTGGAACGCGGACGACTGGGCGACGCAGGGCGGGCGCGTGAAGACGGACTGGTCGCACGCGCCGTTCGAGGCCACGTTCCGGGAGGTGCGCGTGGACGGCTGCGCCTGGGCGGCCAACGCCACCGACGGCGACGCCGGGGAGGTCCGGCGGTGCAGCGAGACCTCGTGGGGCAAGGAGGGCCGGTACTGGTGGAAGGAGAAGGAGATGTCGGAGCTGTCCGTGCACCAGAGCCACCAGCTCGTGTGGGCGCGCGCGCACCACCTCGTCTACGACTACTGCGTCGACACCGACCGCTTCCCCGTGCAGCCGCCCGAGTGCGCCGGCCGCTGATCTCCTGGCCGACCTCGGCGGTGGTTGTAGCCTACTGCTAGCTAGTCTTTGGACACCCATCGATCCGTGCATGCATCGATGGGGTATGGAATGGATGGAACTGCTGGTTTCTCTCTGGACCGGGTTCGTGTTCGTGCGTTTGCAGCAATGGTGTCTGTCTGTAGTTTCGTTTCAGCTTTGCGAGGTCGCACTGTTGGCGACCTTGTGTGGTGAACTGGTAATCTCGGGTTATGTGGAGGTGTCTTTTGTAAAAAAAAAGGTGGATGGGATTATGGGAATGGATGAACGAACGTTGCTGCGCTCCGCTTCAGGGTTTTGCTATCCTTCTGACCTTCTCCGCTCTCTGTCATCTAGTGTCTCGAGGACGGTTAACCATGTTTGCAGCCTGTTTTTTTTTTCAGCCATTTCTCCAACAAATTAACACTAATCCCAGAAACCAACCAACGAATCATAGAAACCAACCAACGAAGTGGCTTTTGATCGGATTCCTCTGTGCTGTGCATGTGGTCCTAAATCAAACTGTACAAACGCATGACTTCTGTTTCCTCAAGAGTACTTGAAGCTACTTTTTTTTACTGCAGATGCTTTTAACCAATGCCTGTTTAGATACCCTCAAAATTCTAAATTTTTTACTCTCTCTCCATCACATTAATTTTTAGCCGTTTGCATGGAGCATTAAATGTAGGTAAAAAAAATAACTAATTGCACAGTTTAGTTGGAAATCACGAGATGAATCTTTTGAGCTTAGTTGGTCTACGATTAGATAATATTTACCAAATAAAATGAAAGTGCTACTATTGATCGGGTTGAAATTTTTTTCAATCTAAACAAGACCCAAGCCATTAATCATGTGTGTAACCAGCGCAGGCAGAGGTACTCAGGTACAGTGGCAGTACTCCTCCCGTGGCCCACTGATAAGAATACACACCGCAACTGCATGGGCATCTCGAGGGATACAGGCGCAATGATAGTTTCAGAAATCTGGTACTCATCGTAGCCATTTCTCCGGTGTTCCAAGGACAACCCTCTTGAATCCGCCTCGACGAAACTAGTGGAATACGTACCACACGGTATGATGTCGAAACTGTATAATGTACAACGACGCGTCCTTTAATTTCTGAAATTCTGTTCCTGCACGACGAAATGTCATGGTGCTCTCTCAGGCCGTTGCTCCAACTTCATCCAGTAGCCCCAGCACCTACAATTTGTCAATTTCGCTTGGCTGATAAGCCATAACTATAAACATTGTTGACTGATTTATTGTGAGAAAAAAATACTATTTATTAGCTAAAAAATTACGGCTTATAAGCGAAACTAACAGACCGAATGATCCCATGCGACGCACCGTACGTGGATGCATGGATCGACCTGCACACATGACAATAGAAGGCACGCGGCTGTTTGCGAGCAGAGCAGCCAGGAGAGCGAGCATGAAGCGATGAGGCAACGAGCTCACGAGTCAAATCGGAGCGGTCCAGGGTTCCCTTGGACGTGTCAGTGCGGGGCGCGGACGCAGCTGGCTCGTCTTGTCCTGCTCCGACCAACTTGCCGGCTGCGTACAGCGGCTGCGGCTTGCATAACGGGTGAGGCCGTGGGAGAGACTTGCCTTAAACGTCCGTCAGCGAAGTGAGCCAAGCCGCGGCCGCGGCCGCTGTGGGTGGGCTCGTGGGCCAAGAGCCGATGAAGCCGTAAAGAAAGGCCTGCGGGCTGGCCCAAGTCAATGGCGCTGGCTCGATGATTTTGCTGTCCTTGCTTATTCTTCTTATTTCTTTCTTTCTTTTTCTGGAAGGAAGTGTGCAGAATAGTCCCACGCTGACGCTGCCCTGAAGCGTCGTCGAGTTGAATCTTGGAGAGCACGTTTTACGTCCAGATCAACCACTTCTGGACTTCTGGTTTTCTCAAACATGAGTAGACGACAGAGATCATCTGGCCCGGTCTCTGGCGGTCTCTCTGCATAATTTCAACATCTGTTACGTTCATGCTCACCCTTTCCTGTTGGGAACTTGTCAATGCCCGTACTGCCTTTCAAGAAAAAAGATTTTACTGTCCTCACATGTTTGTCCACTCGGTTTCTGCCTCTCTTCGGTCTGCAGCAGGCCAGCGGTCCAAGTGGTGGGCGTTCTCGGCCGAATTTCAATAGGCTTTGTTCAGACATCAGCAATTGGTGGCCTGCCTCTGCCTCCATTCGTACTGTGATTTGCTCCCGCTCCGTTCTCCTGGGCTACATTTGTTTCGGTACAAGTCTTCAATCCTCACCGCCTCCATGCCGGCCGTCGGTGTCTGAATAATTGCTGAATGCAGACTTGGCCGTCCTGTGTACAATACAAGTAGTGCTACCCATGGTTCTCCTGTGACAAACAAGATATGGTAAATGGAAAGAAAAAGGAAAAAGTCGAAAAGAGGCGTGCATAGTTTTCCATTTAGTTTTGTCCTGGACACAGTTAGGCTCAAGCCTGACGGAACCTTGAACAGTTCTCAAAATTGGCAGTGATGCTTCTAAACCAGCCCACTAGCCCAGCATAAGTCCGTGCTCAGCAATTTCCAGTGCCATGCAAAGTCTTTGCAACTTGACAGTAGGATGCCGTGGAAGTTGATATAAGTCTTGAGTAGTACGTACACGACACGAGCAAATTACGCACGCGCGTGATGTAGTCATGCTTTAGGAAAGTCCATGATTAGCGATACATGTGTAAACCGCAACATTTTGTCAAACATTGCAGGAGTATTGATGTATTCGCTTGCAGTAGCTCGTCAAGACCTAGACGGATTTGTTAGAAACACTAGTCCATGATCCATGAACTAGTGCTTCTAGAGGTACGGACGAGTATATTTAAAATAATAAATAAATATAAAGCCCATAGCTAAAATTGCCTATATTCTAACACGGTTTATACATGGACCTAAGTGCAAAGCAACCAGCTCTCATGTGCTCTCACATAAGCGGCAACTGCCTCCCTAAGTCCACACACAGGCCAGCGCCACGGTGGATAGATGTATAACTTAAAAAAGTTTATAGTCCCGAATCACTTTGATAGTTGATGAACATAATAAGTGAAACATGAGAAAAAGTTAATGGACTAATAATGCATTTAACTTTTTATTAATTTTTTAATCTCCCAATCTGTTCGCTTGTTAGTTTCAGCCAGAGCTTATCAGTCAGCCAACAGTGTTTTTTTCTCACAACAAATCAGCACCAGTTAGGCCTATCAGCCCAAAAACCAACCAGCGAAAAAAAAAAATGAAACGTGATGGGCACTTGTCTCTGCGCTATCCCGCTGCCCTTGCCGATACCGCCTGCAAGCCACCCGCAGCGCCGACACCACTGCTGCTCGCCTGCTCCTCTACAACCACCTCTCTTAAAGACTATCAATCACCGTTGACCCATTCTAAACTGTGTGTCAGTCACACTAGCAAGTGGGTTTGGAAGACCATGTGATACTCGCTGGGCTCTCCCTACAAAACTGTGATGCATGCTATCTGTATGTATCCTCCAATCAGGCGTGTCCTGATCAAGATTGGAAAAGAGTATATTACAACGGAGGCCAAAGCAGCTATGACTATGTTGACATCATTTCGATTATTTGAGTTTGTATTCATGGCACACTTAATGCAAGAAATATTTGGTTATACCGAGGACTTGAGTAGGGCTTTGCAAAAGAAAGATCAAGACATTGTGAATGCTACGGAGCTTGTGGATCTTACAAAGTTTCATTTGCAGTGCTTGCGGGAAGATGAAGGATGGAATGATTTTTTTTTTCAGAGGGTCACTTTTTTTTGTGTGAAGTATAAGACTAAAGTTGTTGATATGGAGGGTCCTTATTATCCTGTTGGGAGACTAAAAGAGGGTCCTATAATGGCGCAATGAACTATCATCGCTTCCATGTTGACATGTTTGTGAGCGTCATTGATAGGCAACTTCGACAACTGAATGACATATTTGATGAGGTAAACACAGAACTACTTTCTTGCATGGCAGCATTTAGTCCACTTGATTCATTTGCTGCTTATTATGACCTAGCCAAGTTGGTTACACTTGCTACAAAGTTTTATCCTAAGGATTTCACAACTGAGGAATTAGGGAAACTTCCATGGCAGCTTAATATGTACATTTCTCATATTCGTAGAGATGAAAGGTTTAAAAATCTGAAGAACCTATGTGAGCTTTCAGTTAAGCTTATGGACACACAAAAAGATGAGCAATGTTATGGTTTTTACAAGCTTCTTAAGTTGGTGCTAATTCTTCCCGTAGCCACCGCTAGTGTTGAAAGAATGTTTTCCATGATGAATTATGTGAAGAACAAGTAAAAGAACAAAATGAATGATGAATATTTGAACAATTGCTTTGTTACATTTATTGAGAGAAAATTCTTCATTGAAGTGAAAGATGAAGATATCATCAATCTCTTCCAACGAGGCGATCGTAGAGTTATATTGTAGTAGCCGTTACTATTTTGTAATATTTCTTAATTATTTATATTTCGAACTTGTACTTTGATTATTACTCCCTCCGTCCTAGAAGAAAGGTCGTTATGAGATACGTGCAGGTCAAACTTTCTCAACTTTGACTAGGTTTATAAAAAATACGTGCAATATTTATATCTCCAAATAAGTTTATTATAAAAGTATGTTTAACGATCTATCTAATGATACTAATTATATATTATAAATATTAATATTCTTTTATATATATTTGGTCAAAGTTAAAAAAAAGTTAGACTTCTCGGGAAGCAAGAATGACTTCTATTTTAGGACACAGGGAGTATTATGGATTTGTTAAATGTTATGGCCATTATAATTTATCGTCCATTATATTGCATATTTACTTCAAAAGTTTATACATTTGACATATCCGGTCATAAATTCCTGGCTCCGCCACTGCATGTACAGAGTCATGGTGAGAAAATTAGAAAAACGAACAACGTAACTCATTCCTCGCAGCTGTACATTAGGTAGGAGTGAGAGCACACTGAGCATACTTATATGGTTGTCAACCGCTAGTG